GGCGACCGGCCGCGCAGCGAATCCGTCCCCCTCGGCCCCTCCCGGAGAACAGCCCAGGTCCCTGCAGCGGGCAGCGCTCTCCTGTGAGTTGTTGTCCTGATGTGGACGCTTCTGTGAACTAAAACGGGGTCGCTCATCCCAGGAACCCCAAAAGGAGTCGGGTCCGGAAGGAAGCCAGGCTGACGAACGTTACCTTTGAACTTCCATCAGTTACCGGAAAGATGGGGAAATGTGTAGCCAGCGACGGACATGACTTTGAATAAAGCACTTTTGATGTACTCCCTGGAGAAGTGCCCCCGGAAGTCGGCCCCCACGCCTTGTTTCCGGTGAGTGGATTGCGTTAAGGTTCCGGTTTTCTTCCTTCTCCTCTTAGGAGCAGGAACACGGACACAGTCGCTCTCAGAACCGGGTCGGAGGTCACAACCAGCCCCCCGGGGTCGGAGAAGCGCTAGGTTGAGGCTCAGGGGCACCGGGGGGTCAACACACCCGCGGGGGCACCGCCCGCACCTCCTAACCGCCGGCCGCTCGCGCCTTACCGCGTGGCTGGCTGCTGCTTACCTCCCGCCTGCCAGCTCCTTAGCGCTGCCGGGGTGGCAGGAGGGGCTCCCGCCATCGCCTCTGCCATCACAGCGGGGAGCCTGGCTCTGGCTGAGCGGGCCGCCCGCTGTGGGAGCCCCCCTACAACCAGGGGGCAGCTCCTGGGTTGAGCGTCTGCCCCCTGGTGGTCCGTCTGGGTCATAGCAACCTGTCGTCCTCCCGTTGGGTGGATTTGCTTAGTACTGTTTTAGATAGATAGATAGCAACAAAAAAATGAGTAAAGAAACTTCTTTGAGTTCAGGTTTTTCACTGAGTGTTTTATTCCAGTTGCCAATTAGAGCTGATGCTAACGTCCGGGTTCACCTGGGGCCCTATTTTGCAAATGCCCTCTCTGATTTTAGCTGCAACCAGGGACGATAGCCATTAAAAAAGATTCACGAGTTTATTTGAGCCAAACTGATGACACATGCTGGGAAAGCGAGATCTGAAATGCTTTCAAGAAAAATAGTTTTGCAGCTTCTTTTTTACATTTGAAACTAAGGCGGGGACATTTTTTATTGACTATTTTTTTCTTTGCCTTATTTAAAAAAAAACAATTCTAACATCGAATTAAGCCAATTTAATTGTTTTGTTTTTTTAAATTTTTTACAGAGAGGAAGGGAGAGGGAGAGTTAGAAACATCGATGAGAGAGAAACATCGATCAGCTGCCTCCTGCACAGCCCCTTTGGGGATGTGCCCACAACCAAGGTACATGCCCTTGACTGGAATCGAACCTGGGACTTTCAGTCTGCAGGTCGACACTCTATCCACTGAGCCAAACCGATTATGGCCAATTTCATTGTTTTATAACATCAAACTCTAAATCTATAGAAGAAATGAACTATTGACAAATGTAACTTTTATCCACAATCTCTGGCGATGTGGGCAAATGCATGTAAGAATTTCAGCAACCTTTGCACTGACAGTAATTGCACCAGCATTTATTGAGAGCTCACCGTGTGTGGGTAGGCATTCTTCTAAGCATGTTGCATATGTAAATTCACAGCAACCTTTGGGGCAGGTGAGGAAAGTGCACATTTCAGTTTTTAGTCAGCAGCTGGTGATTCTGGATTCTCTGGCAACACCAGACCTGCAGACTCATTCCTCCCCTGGTCATTTATTTTTCTGAAAGCCCAACACGACCCTCACCCAGATCCCTTACCTCCCCACTCTACACTGCAGTGACCAACAAAAACAATAAAAGTCCCCCAAATGTCTCTTTTTTATATATATGCAGAAACCTAGATAAAAAATGAAATAGAATCAGAAGAAGTGAAAATACAAGCAATTTGGTGGTAGAGAGAATCAGGGGTTGGTTGGAGGAGGGAGCCAGGCATGATTCATATCCAGCCGTCTCCTGCACGCACCCATTGAGGATGGAGCCCTCATGGAGAATGTGTCCTGACGGAGATTGGGGAATCGAACCTGGACCCTCTGGTTCATAGGTAGACCTCAACCAAAAAGCCACACGAGCTGGGCCCAAGGCACATTTCTTAACATGTCCCACCCATTCCTAAATGCTTTCTCTGGAGGCCTCTAATTCCCTTCCGACTCAATTGGACACTGCAATTAGCACCCTAGCAATGACCCCACTAGTTGTTATTTTTGGACTCTGTTCCCCATTCCATTCCTTTCACCTGAATTGTTCCCTCAGATCTGCCAGCTGGGAGAAGGAGTCCAGATATTCCCAGCCTGCAGCGTTCAGGCTGGAATGACAACATCAGTCCAACCACTGCAGGGAACTCAATTCTAACAACAACCAGAATTAGCAAGAAACAGACCGTTCCCTGGACCCTCCAGAAAGGAGCCAGTCTGCAGACACCTGGATGTCAGCCTGGCCAGAGCCATGCTGGGCTTCCCACCTACAGACATGTGAAGTAAGGAATCTGTGTTGCATTAGGTCATGAAATTTGTGGTTTTTATTACAGCAGCTTACAAAGCTAATACAATAAGGATTTTGTGAAAATGTGGTGGGTAAACTGTGGGGGTCAAAATCTAGAAGAAGTTCTAATGGTTCAGAGTGAAGACCATTAACCAATTTATTTAACAAAAGTAACCTGACAACCACCTGCCGGGTGGAGGACACACAGTGGTGACCAATCACAGTGATGGTGATGGAGTGGCTTTTCCCCAGGACCCAGCAGTTACAGGAACCTCCAGGAACATGGACACATGCTCAGCGTGGAGTGTCCTTTCCTGGAGATGGGCCACAGTGTGATAAAAATTCCACTGCAGTTCACCTGGCTCCCTTCCCCCAAATTCATGCCTCACACATGAGCTTTAGGGATGAAGCTGGAGGGTTGGTTCAGCTTCATGATCACAGGTCACAAGCTGGTTAGGAGTTTGGCCTCTAGTCCCTTCTCAGCTCTGGGTGAGGTGGTCACTGTGAATTCATTCTGTGGTTCTGTGGACGACGTCATCATGGAGAGCCAGCCAATAGAGAAGTGGACCATGGCTCTGACAGTCCCCCTTGAAGGAACTAGATGGGCTGTGGCCTTTGTAGGCACCTATAGTGACGTTCACCCTGGGGCCCTGGGTAGGGAACCTCAGGCTGCCCATGACCCTGCCCAACAGGAACAACTGGCTGCAAAGGAACAGACTGCAGGTAGAGGAAGGGTAAGAGGTCAAACACCTCCCAGCAGCACTAGTTTCTGCATGAATTATGTCACTTCCCTGGGCCCTGCCTCCCTTTCCACACTTTCAAAGAGGCCACCTCACAGGGGTGTTGTGAGGATTGGGGAGTGAGATTCACCTGAAGCACTTAGCCCAGCACCCACCACCTTCTAAGTACCTGTGAATTGAGCTATGGTTGCAGGAAGGGAGCTGAGCAAACTTTTCACCTTTGGGAAGTTATCTTCCTGCACCTATTACTTCCTCCTGGGGTCCTCATTGCCATTAGCTGAGCCTGAGGCCACTGGGGTCTCCAGGGAAGGGCCAGGCAGTGGGTCAGACACAATAGAACTCCTCACTCCTTTTGGTGCTGGGCAAACGGTCAAGGCAGAGGACTCATGTGACCAAATCCTGAAAAAAGGCCACAGAGGCCCAGAGAAGGAAGCTTGTTGGAAGGTGAAGATGTGTGATCCATCGATGGCATCATAGAATGAGACCTCCCGCATCTCACAGTCCAGGAAAACCCCCACTCTTTTAAGAGGGTTGGCAACTGTGAGTTTGCTCCGGGGATCCGTTCGAGCATGGAATTCATGCCCACCCGACAGTGCTATTGTCCAGAATCCATTCTCCGGTGATATTGTAGCATAATATTTTCTCTCCACGTTCTCCCTACACAACCCTAAATGCCACTGTTTCCTGTCCCCCACCTCCACCTCCCAGAAGTGTCTGCCTGACGTGAAGCTCTCACGGCCCAGCACACAGAAACGATCTTGAAATCTCCTGGGGTTGTCTGGCAGGCTCTTCCGTGCATCTGTATAGTTCAGGCTCCTCTGATCCTCAGAAATGAGGAGGTTGGGGTGCGCGGTGTCCGGATCCAGAATCACGTCCGCTGCAGAGTCCCAATGGTGTGGGGTCAGCCAAGGTTTCGGGATCTGAGAGCCTCGGGCTCCAAGGCTTGGGCCTGCCTGGTGAGACCTGGCCCAGAGCCTGGGGTCCCAGCTGCCCTGACTGTGACCCTCAACAAAGCCAAGAGACACCACAGGGCCTGGTGGTCAGTGAGGAGGGGAGTGTGAGGGGGGCTGGACTCTGCCCAACCCGCCATCTCAAGTGGCCACCTTCCTTCTATATTTCTCCTGTTTCCTCCCCAGAATGACTGTGTCCACCTGTGCTGCAGAGTCACATGGATTCCAAGGGCCCCAACCCTTGCTCTACCCTCCTGAGCTGGACGACTTCCTTTTCTGCACCATCTCTTTTCACACACACACACACACACACACACACACACACACACACACTCTATGAAAT